AAATCTCAATTAAAAAGTTAATTAAAAGTAAGAGTGAAGAGGAAATCATGTCTAACATTCATATTAAATCCAAATCACCAAATTTATTTCAAATCCAAATCAACAATCAGGGTTGCCATTTTTTTTTTTAAAAAAGAGGGGGGGAAACATGTTAATCCAATATATTTGCTTTGTAAATGGTTGTCTGAAATTTGCTTTTCTGGGTAGTCTTTGTTGTATTAAAACCCTGCTTTTTTCAGGCAGCAAGTATGAATACTGTCGTAACACACGTTTCCATTGCCCACAAACCTCCACAGCACATTAGGGCTGCAATCTTATATATACACGTGTACTTAGGAGTTCAATGGGACTTCCTTCTGTGTAGAATTGGGATTGCACTGTCAGTTTCTTATCCAGAGTCTTACATGTTCTCCCTTTACTCATCCCATAATTCCATTTCCATTCACCGTAGTGGAGGTAACATATCTATGCATTTGTAAAGCTACTCTGTGTGAATGTGAAGTTCTTGTGTTCAGCGATCTCCATGCTTGAATTTTTAAGCAAATGTGCACACAGAAATTTAGATGTCCTTTAACGAGTTGACTAACGAATTACACTGTGAGACTACTACAGATCACTCTGCTGCTTGCTTCTGTCCAAATGGCACATACTTATTTATACATATATACTCTGTCCTTTAAAATAATCCCCCCCCCCCAAAGAGCCTTACATCATTAAAAAATGAACATTTTTGTAAAACAACAACAGCCCACAATTCAATATGGGATTAAACATATAAAAACACATCAGCATAATAACAAATGCAAGAGTTAGCAGAAAATAATTTGATAATTAAAAAGTCTTGAGAAATAAAAATGCCTTAAAGCAGAGAGAGTGGGTACCTAGTGGGGGCTTCATACTTGCAGACTTTCAAAGAAAATAGATACAAACATAGTAGAATACTAAGCGCAAGCCAATATGTCAAGAACATAAGACGAGCCCTGGCCCAGACCCAAAGGCCTATCTACTTTAGCATCCTGTTTCCCATAGCGGCCTATGGGATTCCTTTAGGAAGCCCACAAGCAGGAGAAATGGGTAGGGCTGGGCAAATCGGACCATTTCGTTTCACTCAGTTTCTTTGTTCCCCTCCCCATATTTCTTTATATTTCCACATCAGTATGGATTATTGTTATTGTTATTATTTTAAATGGCCCGTGAAAATTCACCAGCATTTTCGTGTGAATTTCTCTTGATAGACGTATTTGGCCTGCAATTTTCCCTAATAGACACATTTTTGCAAAGCAGTTTCTGGATGTTGTGTATGCATTTTTTAAAACAACAACAACTATATATATATATATATATATATATATATATATTCATTTCTATGCACACTTTATCCCCATAGATGCATTTTTGAACATATTGCACAGCTGGAGAACTGCACTGCAAAATTTGGAGAAGTTTTGAAAGATGGCTGCGTTTTGGTTCACGCGTTGTTTCAAAAAGTGCAAGCGGAGGAGCTTAACCTTTAAACACAACGCGAATTGAATTTATCCTCCATCCCTACAAGAGGGAGAAAGCCCTTTCCTCCGGTTGCTTCCCCCAAACTGATAAACTGCCTCTGCTCCTAGGAGGTTGTATAAAGCCATCATGACTGGTAGCCATATCCACCATGAATCAATCTAATTCCCTTTTAAAGACATCTAAAATGGTGGCTGTCTCCATCTCTTGGCCAAGGCATCTAAAATGGTTGTTGTCCCCACCTCTTCTGCCAGCAAATGCCACAAGTAAGCTTTGTACTGCTGTGTTGCCGAGTGGTACAAATTTGTCCAACTCCAATTACTTGTGGGAATTCATTTCCCACCAGTTTGTACCCAGTTTCTCCCCTCTCGCCTTTATGTGCACCCTTATTTGGACTTCATTGACATCTGTTCAGCCCAGTTAGGAATTTTAAAGAGTCAGGCAACCCAAGCTCTGATCTGTAGCAATCCTGGGTGGTTATTACGTCGCTTTGCAGCTTGCTGTGTGATGCAAATGACAGCGGAATTATGATATAGTAAGGACGATATATCTGTTCCCATTTATAAGCTCTTTTTATGTGTTGAAGAACTTGGGGCTTCCTTTCCCTTTGTTTCCTCAAGGCACAATAAAAGAGGCCCCCCGAGGTGGCTGTGAGACTCTCCCTGACAAGGCACGGAAAGCATCCGACTAATTTTATATGCAGTTCTTGGCACTGAGGTCTGGGCAGAGGTGGGTTGGGTCCACTCATACTTCAGTCTCATTAATCATTTGGCGCTCTCCCTCCCTCTGCACCCCCCCCCTTTCACCACCGCTCCCACCCCACCCCACCCCTTGCAGCATCTTCTGGAGGAACCCTTCTCTTTATTCATTCAGACAACCCTTTGGATTAAACAGAGCCAGCTAAATGTCAAACCAAATCTGAGTCTTGATGCAGATAATCATTTCAATAATATTTCTCCATTTGTGCCCAAACACCCAGGGAATAAAGCTTTTCTGCTGTCAGGTAGTGTAAGACTGCAGTTGGTGTAAATGCTTGACATTGAGCCAGATGGCTTAGCCGTGCTTCAAACATATGTTCAACAAGCAGGCTTGCACACATTGGAATTTTATTATTTTGAACTGGTGAGGCATGCATATTTATTTACTTGACCCTTTACGGTGTCACTTTGGTTTTAAAACAATCAGTTATAAAGCTCCCCCAAGCAGCAGGGTAGGCCTGGCTTATAAACCCCTGTCAGCTTTGCAGTGCATTCTGCAGGAAAAGCATTTCCCTTTTAAGGCTTCCATTTATCTATTTTAAGAAAAGGGGGGAAGTCCAGACTTTTTCTTCTTTTTAATATTTCCCTAGTGCTTGCAGTACACACATGCGCCTATTCAAAACAAAGCAAAACCAAGAATTCTAATTCTTAAATACATAAAGCTTATTAATTTAATCCCGATCCCTTCACCTCACACTTTTCTCTTCTGTTAACTTTAACATCCATGGCTGGATTCCAAAGGTCTGTTTCTGCACATGAAAAATGACTTTTCCTCACAAGAGAGCATAATGCAGGACGCCCTCAGAGACTCAGTTGTATGTGTGGAGCGTATAGCTTGGGCAAATGATGTAGAACAGCCCAAATGACATTCACACACAAACACACAATTTATTGCATTATGGGGCGCAAGGCCTGTTACAAGATCATTGCTTTTCTGATCCAGACATTTGGGTGTGTCACCCTGCCGATCCTCTGCCAAACAGCTGAGAGGAACTTTCATGAGATATCAAGTCTACACAACTGCATTTCCTCTGAATTTGTGCACTGTCCAAAAAAATCTGGATATTTTAGGAACTGCCTTTTTCACTAGGAACCACACACACACATCAAAATTAAGACCTGAAGATACAACATGCACATATGATAGGCATAGGCAAACTCGACCCGCCAGATGTTTTGGGACTACAACTCCCATCATCCCTGACCACTGGTCCTGTTAGCTAGGGATGATGGGAGTTGTAGTCCCAAAACATCTGGAGGGCCGAGTTTGCCTAGGCCTGACATAAGATCTAAAACAGAATGAAATCAAGAATGGGATAAAAAGAAAAATAAATCCAGAGAAATGCAGTAGGGATTGAGATCAATACAACAAATCTAAAATATACTACCAATAATAATAATTGAAAGGGAAAAGCCTGGGAATCACCTGTTGGTGAAATGATCAGTAGATGAGCCCTAGGGAGTAGGTTCCATAATAAAGGGGCCAACACTGAAAAGGTAGCCACCTGATGAACATTATTTAACAGGGATATTTGGAGGAATACCCAAGAGGAAACAGTCCTTCAGAAAACCTGGCCACAAACTGTTTAGGACTTTAAAGGTTAATGCCAGGACTTAAATTTGACCTTGCAAATGGACCGGGAGCCAGCACAGATGGCAAAGCAGTTGCATGATATGATTGATCCAGCCAGTGCCTCACAGCAAACTTCTGCTACAAACAGGCCAAACCCTATGCCAAAGAATAAATGGACATAAATCTGACATCAGGAATCACAAGAGAGAGAAACCAGTAGGAGAACACTTCAATCTTCCAGGACATTCTATACAAGATCTCAAAGTAGCTGTCTTATTACAAAAGAATTTCAGAAATAGACCGAAAAGAGAAGTTGCTGAATTGCAACTTATTACCAAACTTAAAACCATGGAGAGCCCTGGTCTGAACAGAGACATTGGATTATTATACATGATATTATACATGATTATACATGTCTCTGAACAGAGACATTGGATTATTATACATGATAAAGCTATTTTTAGCCATATCACCCCTTGCTTTTTCCTGTAAGACCACTTGCAGTCGTTAATAGTCATAAACAGCTTTACCACACCTATCAGCCAATCACCCATTCCCACCACCCTTCTGAGTAATACCTCTCCCTACCCTCTCCCTATATATAAGGGTCTGGTGACTTCTATTTCAGTGTATCTGAAGAAGTGTGCATGCACATGAAAGCTCATACCAAGAACAAACTTAGTTGGTCTCTAAGGTGCTACTGGAAGCACCTTACACGGCTACCTACCTGTAACTTCTGCTACCCCTGTTTTGGACCATTTTCAAAGACACTCCCACGGTAAAGCAAACCAGAAGTTAGCAGAGTGTAGATAATTGTAGCTCGGCTATCTCTGTCCATATATGGTCTTGGGTGATATAAGTTGGTAGAAGGAGGTCTGATCCACTGAGGCATCCATGTCTGGATCCAAAACACACAGCGTGCTAACCCAATGTTTTAGGAGGAGTGCAACTTCCTCAAAGACAGGTCAACCCCCATTCAGCTGAACAGGCAACCAACCACTTGTCTGGACTGAATCTCAGCTTATTGGCCTTCACCCAGTCCATTTCTGTGGCCAGGCACTGATTCAGAGCACCAAGTGCCTCACTTAGATTTGATGAGGAGAGACCACTTTCCCCATCGTTTCCTGCCACTCAGTACTGGACCATCTCGCTTCTGATCTCTCACCATGGCAGCATCTCTTGACCAAGCTATTGGCCTGCTGGTTGTCACCTTCCACAAATACGCCGGCAAGGATGGCGATAAGAACACCCTAAGCAAGAAGGAATTGAAGGAGCTGATCCAGAAGGACCTCACCATTGGACTGAAACTGCAGGACTCAGAGATACAGGCATTAATGAAATATCTGGACCGCAATAGGGACCAAGTGGTGAACTTCAAGGAATACGTCACTTTCCTGGGTGCCCTGGCAATGATTTACAACAAAGCTTTGAGTTCGTGGGTTGAGGTTTTGTGGTTCGGGATTATACCTCTGTAGGCGGTTTCACGTCCAATAAAATTTATGTTTTAAAAGATTTGATGAGGAGAACTGGAGCTGTGTGTCGGCCAAATATTGGGGCCACCTCAGTGTACATCTCCAGATAACCTCTCCCATTGGTTTCATGTAGAGATTCTCCACAAAATGGCACACGGGGTTGGGGGGTTGGGAAGAGAATCCTAAATGATCAAGAAATTCTCCTGCTCATGGAGAACTTCTGAAGAGAGGGAGTGGAGAGGATAACAATTACCCCTTCACTTCCAGCAGAACCACCTACCTTCAAGCAACAGCAAAGGTGTCAGAAATTTATTCATTGCCTTGTTCTTCAAGGCTCAGCCCATAAAAATGGAGCCTACCATGGGCAGAAGGTTGCCGTACAAGGTGGTACAGCTGGTATGTGCACAGATATCAGAGGGAAACGTGTTGGGTGGGGGTTTGGGTTGAAAGGCCAGACCCACCCCCCACCCCCGGTACTAATCAATAAGCTGAGTGATAACCCATGCAAGCATTCTGCAGAAGGGGGAAATATGAATTCCAAGAAAGAAATTATTTATTGCTAATAATTCAGCCAGTTTCTAATTTGGACATTACTTCTTATTGACTATTTTATTGCTCATTTAAAATATTTCATCATATAACCATCAATCACATGTATGCTAAATTATTTCCTCTGGAGCAGCATTTCAGCAGAATTAGAATAAAAGGTGCAGATATGGGCTCCTAAATACTGCATTTGTGGAACACGTACCCTATTAACGCACACTTACCAGCGAATTTCCAATATTGTTCAGTCGCTTCTCGCTGTGTAATAGTCCTACAATATTATAAAAAGCCATTCTTTATAAATAAAGTTTTTTTAAGTGCCATTGGGATGTAGGCAGAATCGTTTCTATTTTGGGTGGGGGGGTATATTCAACTGAGATTGATCTTATTCAATCTCAAAACCTTAAAGGTAGGGGCTGTGTGTGGGGTTCTATTCTGAGTCATTGCATGTGTCAGCAGAGTATGCAAAAGCCTGTTTCACTCCTTCCTGACCCTGACCCTGTTCTGCCCCTATTCCACCCTCTTCCGGGTGCGAAAACGGCACGTGCGTGCTTTGAACATGCACAAAATGGTCATTTCCTGTATTTGTTTTCAGTACCTGGGAAGATCACAACAGATCTCACTTTTCTGCAAGGTGGGCCTTTATCTTGCCCTGGTCCTATCTTCTAATATGAAGTCAAAGAATCGTAGAATTGTAGAGGTGGAAGGGACCACAAAGGCCATCTACTGCAATCCCCTGCAATGCAGGGATCTTTTGCCCAACGTGGGGCTTGAACTCAAAACTCTGAGATTAAGTGTCCCATGCTCTACTGACTGAGCTATCAAGAAAGAGGGAAACAGTACTTCTAGGTGGCGGTGGTGGGTTTCCGTGGAGAGCTCCCAAGTGGAGTATGCTGCTCTCATCACATCACGTCTCTCCCTATAGGAACTTAGGAAACTGCCTCATATACCAAGACAGGCTATTATTCATCCATCTAACTCAATACTGTCAACACTGACTGGTAGCAGCTCTCCAGGTTCTTGGGCAGGAAGTATTTCTGAGCTCTGTCTGAAGATACCAGAGATTAAACCAGGAACCTTTTGAATGCAAAGTAGATGCTTTACCCTTGATCTACAGTCCTTCCTTGCGAAAGGCAGAAAAGCAAGGGGGTGGGTGGAGAGATTGTATCCAATAAACCTGCACAGCTTTAAGATGCCATAGAACTCAGCTGCAAACCCTCCACCCCCACAATCTCAGTATAGCATATCTGGGCTACAAGAGACACATGAAACAATTAGCTTGCTACTGCAACTTTTCTACATCTGTATAAAACTAAAACACCATGCCTACAAAACTAATGAAGCCCATCCTTCCTTGTGCCGATACAGTGATCAGTAAATTGCGTCCACTGCTCTCTTGAAAAGACAGGTATTCTCTCTGTTGATCAAGGTGAACTAGAGAAATCATTGAAAAATATGATATTTTCCAATCCATTACACAGCTAGGAGTCAGTGCTGCCCTGTTATCATCTTTGTATTGTAAAGAGCTACAATAAGCATGCTCATTTCTTTTAAAAAAAGCTTATCCCAGTTATCCCATGACAGAATGAACAGGGCCAATTGATTGTAAAAAAACAACAACAGCAGGGAGGTTCGGCAGATCATGTGACAATAACTGTGTATGGGCATCATATAGGAGCTTCCAAAGTACAAGCTCAGTTAACTAAAAGGATCACCAGATTTACTGCTATAGTAGCAGTAAAAGGTAAAGGTAAATACATATAAAAGAGTCAAGCCCTGTGCTGCACTATATTTCTGGAGCATAATCTTATAGTAATACCTATTTTATACAGTCAAGTGCATTTTTATATGCATTTGTTTATGTTCTCCTAACTTTAGGAAAACTGAGGTATTTATTATTGTTACGTTAACGGATTAATTTAGATGCTACTTAATGCCCAGATGGTTTGAAAGCAGTTTACAAAACAAAACAAAACAACACAAATTGTGCAACATTGTTAAAAGATGGAATAATTTAAAGATACACCACAATTAAAATATAAATGTCCGTGATCAAAATATAAAATGAAATGATCTCATCAAACAGCAATTAAAACAGAAGCTTCAGGTCAAGTGATCAAGCAAAAATCTGTGCAAACAGGGGCATCTTCAAAAGCCAGCAGAATGCCAATACAGATTGGGGCAGCTCGTATTTCAGTGCTTGTTGCCACCAGTGCAAGTCATATATAGGCATACAGCATGCATATAATGTTCTGTGTATAATAATTAATACAGTAGTACCTCTGGTTACAGACGCTTCAGGTTACAGATGCTTCAGCTTACAGACTCCGCTAACCCAGAAATAGTATCTCGGGTTAAAAACTTTGCTTCAGGATGAGAACAGAAATCGTGCAGCGGCAGCAGGAGGCCCCATTAGCTAAAGTGGTGCTTCAGGTTAAGAATAGTTTCAGGTTAAGAACGGACCTCCAGAACGAATTAAGTTCTTAACTCGAGGTACCACTGTAGTAGGTTGCATATAATAATGTGTATAACGTGAAAGTATTTTAGTGTAACTGGTGTGCGTTTGTGCGTTGCTTTCTGGAAAAAGCCTGTAAGGTTTTGACATTAAGATTTCCAGAAAATTCCATCCTTATTTGAAAGCAATCTTTACATTGGCCACTGCTCTGTTGTCTAACCACCCAGACCAGCCTCCCTTAAGCTCAACAGATACAAATTCTTTTATCTTACAAAAAACTACAGATGGCTACAGATGGCTGTATATATAGAGAGACCCTCTTCATAAGCACAGGAAACACAGGGCATATAACTGTGTCAGAACCGCCATTTTAAGGAAGCAAGTATGAGGAACTGAGGCAAGTAGCACTGACAACAGATGAAGTTCTAGACCATATGGACCAATAGAAAACGGGCAGAGCATCAGATTGCTGATCTTCTAACAAAAATATGTAATATTTCCCTAAGACTGATCTCTGTACCAGAGGTCTGGAAAATTGTTAATCTAATGGCAATTTTTAAAAAGCAATGGGGAGGGTAGTCCAGAAAATTACAGGCCAATTAGCTTAATGTCTGTTCCAGGTAAATCGGTGGAAAGTTTTAAAATTATCAAGCTTAAAGGAGAGCAAGTCATTCAGAAGAAGAATATTCTTGAACAAGCTGTAAATGCCTGTCTTTTTACCATGGCCAAGTATGACTGGGCTGTGGAAACTGTATTATAGTCTGGCTCTGAAATATTATTATGCTAGCTTATTGTTATTATTATTATTATTATGTTTATGAGGGTTTTTAATCGTGTTTTGAAGGAAACTGGTGTTTTAAATGTTTTTGTATTTTATTGTGTATATTTTGAGATATACTTCCCCAGCCACTTTGAGAGGCATACATAAATAAATCAGCATGGCTTCTCCAAAGATAAATCCTGTCTCACTAACCTTTTAGAGTTCTTTGAGAGTGTCAACAAGCATGTGGATGGGATGATCCAATTGACATGTTTACCTGGACTTTCAAAGGCTTTTGACAAAGTCGGTCACCAAGGACTCCTGAGCAAACTTTGCAGTCATAAGAAATGAGGAGAGGTCTTCTTATGGATCGGTAACTGGTTAATGATCAGGAAGCAGAGAATAGGAATAAATGAGCAGTTTTTGGTTTTTGAGGGATATAAGCAATGGATTGGTAACTGGCTAATGGACAGGAAGCAGAGCACAGGAATAAATTAATAGCTGTTTGAAATGGAGGGATACAAACAGTGGTGTTCTTCCAAGGATTTACAAAGGCCCGTTGCTTTTAAACTTGTCAGAGATGATGTGGAATTAAGGGGAGGTAACAAAGTGGCCAGGTTTGCATATGACATCCAACTTATTTAGGGTGGTGAAAATGAGAAGGGGTAGGCAAGAGCTTCAAAAGGATATCTCCAAGCAGGGAAATTCTGCATTTAAATGACAAGTGTAGTTCAGCATAAGCAAGTGCAGAGTGACACAAGGCAATGTGGATAAAGGGATAAAGGTAAAGGGACCCCTGATCATTAGGTCCAGTCGTGACCGACTCTGGGGTTGCGGCACTCACCTCGCTTTATTGGCCGAGGGAGCCGGCGTACAGCTTCCGGGTCATATGGCCAGCATGACTAAGCCGCTTCTGGCAACCAGAGCAGCGCACGGAAACGCCGTTTACCTTCCCGCTGGAGCGGTACCGATTTATCTACTTGCACTTTGAGGTGCTTGTGAACTGCTAGGTTGGCAGGAGCAGGGACTGAGCAATGGGAGCTCACCCTGTCGCAGGGATTCAAACCGCCAACCTTCTGATCGGCAAGTTTGTGGTTTAACCCACAGCGCCACCCGTGTCCGATCTATATCTATATCTATATCTATATCATCTCCTCATACATATCTCCTCATATAGTGACTGGTAGCTAGCCCGATTAAAACACTGACACTATGGACGGCTGCTGTGGAAAAAAAGTGAATTCTGTGCTGAGGCCCATTAGGAAAATAATCAAAAATAAAACTGCCAATATCAAAACATCTTTATACAAATCTGTGGAGCAACTGCACTTGGAATACTGTGTATAGTTCTGGTTGTCTCATCTCAGAAAGGGGTACAGTATTATACAGCTGGAAAAGATACAGAAAGAAACAACAAAAGTTACCAGGGGGCTGGCACAACTCCCCTCTGAGGAGAAGTTGCAGCGTTTAGGGCTTTTTAGTTACAGTAAAGACAAGTAGGTAATTTTGCAAGAAATAAGCATACACCAGACTTTTCCCGCTGCCATCCAGAACGTTGGAAACACATGGCTCCGTGATATCATTATCAGCAGCAAACAATAGACTTCTCTAACAGACTTTGCATGCATTGGCAGATCCCAAGCCACTTAAGGTCATTCCCATGGGCAGATGCTTCTGAATGGGTCATTCCTTCCTCCACATGCACAAGATACGTTTCCCCCCCACCCACCCACTGCCTCACTATGTCGCTTTTTTTGTCGCTGCTTGTTGCTATGTTTTGCCACACGTTCGTTATTTAAATGGCAATCCTCAAAAGACCTAAAGTTTATTTTATTTGCTTGCAAAGTTCTAGATACATTTTTGGAGCTGGCCCATTACTGCAGACCAGGTACCATTAACAATCTTATTGGATTCATCAACTTGCAAGGTGACACTGGCTCCCCCCTGCTTTTTTTTTATAAAAAAATAATATCTGATTAAAGTCTCCACCCCCACCCCACCTTATGGTATTTTGGATATTTCTATAGCTTGCACGCACCAGGGGAAATGAGCATAACAGAATTACTAGTTGGAGGCTGGCACAGTTCCTAGCTCATTATTCCATAAAGGATTTGGTGTTCCATTGAGTGGAAAATATTGTGTAGTCAGGTAATGCTGACTGCATTACCACGGAATTTTATGAATTTTGCATTGCTATTTACTACTAAATTTCATGCTGAACCCAATAACAAGGCAACAATGATGCCAGTCACTGTGAGCGCTTCTTTCTCATGATTTACCCTGGAGTATTCAACAAAATGGCAGCTGATTTGCCAGCCACAAATAACTTTTTTTGGTGCTGCAACTTGGAAGAAGCAATAATTGCCATCCGCTGAGGTCAGACCCTGTCTGTCTGTCTGTCTGTCTGTCTGTCTCTCTCTCTCTCTCTCTCTCTCACACACACACACACACAAACACCCACTACACATCCCAACCATGTGCTCTGAGTATGTATATGATACATATTTCTGTATAGATTATATACTCTCACCTGCCATCAGCCACAGCCAGCGTGGCCCATAGTCTTAGGAACTCTCAGAAGGTGGGAGCTGGAGTCCAGAAACATGTGGCTAT